GTCTTGGGACTTGGTGAGCGTAAGACATCATCGCATTGCTGCACAGCGGTGTGGAGTTGGTCCTCCATTGCTTTCAGCTTTGCCTGGCTTTCGAGAAGTTGCGCTTGCTTTTGTCTGAGAAGAGCAAGACGTCGGTGCACCTCGTTTTTCTGCTCTTCCTTGTTTTCTGGTCGGTTGTGGGCGTCTTGTTCTGTTTTTGCCCTTGCTGCTTGCTGCTGTTCCTGGGCCTCTTGTTCTGCTTGTGCCCTTGCCTCCGCTGCTTTCTGCTGTTCCTTGGCCTTGTGTTCTGCTTGTGCCCTTGCCTCCGCTGCTTTCTGCTGTTCCTTGGCCTCTTGCTCTGCTCGTGCCCTGGCCTCCGCTGCTTTTTGCTCCTCTTGTTCTGCTTGTGCCCTTGCCTCCGCTTGTGCCCTTGCCTCCGCTGCTTTCTGCTGTTCCTTGGCTTCTCGTTCTGCTTGTGCCCTCGCCTCCGCTGCTTTCTGCTCCTTTTGTTCTGCTTGTGCCCTTGCCTCCGCTTGTGCCCTTGCCTCCGCTGCTTTCTGTTGTTCCTTGGCCTCTCGTTCTGCTTGTGCCCTTGCCTCCGCTGCTTTCTGCTGTTCCTTGGCCTCTTGTTCTGCTTGTGCCCTTGCCTCCGCTGCTTCCTGTTGTTCCTTGGCCTCTCGTTCTGCTTGTGCTGTCGCCTCCGCTGCTTTCTGTTGTTCCTTGGCCTCTCGTTCTGCTTGCGCCCTTGCCTCCGCTGCTTTCTGTTGTTCCTTGGCCTCTCGTTCTGCTTGTGCCCTTGCCTCCGCTGCTTTCTGCTGTTCCTTGGCCTCTTGTTCTGCTTGTGCCCTTGCCTCCGCTGCTTCCTGTTGTTCCTTGGCCTCTCGTTCTGCTTGTGCTGTCGCCTCCGCTGCTTTCTGTTGTTCCTTGGCCTCTCGTTCTGCTTGCGCCCTTGCCTCCGCTGCTTTCTGTTGTTCCTTGGCCTCTTGTTCTGCTTGTGCCCTCGCCTCCGCTGCTTTCTGTTGTGCCTTGGCCAACTCTGCTAGCTGTTCTTGCGCGCTTTGGGTCTCTGAGTCCTGCAGGGCTCAAAACGGCAGCTGTGCACATGTTCATGAGATGCATGGAGGTCAGGTTTGTGACTCGCCACGGCCTCTGCGTCTTCTGGTGCGTGGTTTCCCTCGTGGCAGCCGTCTTCCATTTGTGTGTCGAACACGGCTTGGGTTGGCTGCGTGCTTGCGCTTGCTGCGGCGCTGCCTGCACACAAAACCACACAAATACACACACACACACACACAAAAAAAACAAAAAGCCACACACACACGCACACACACACACACACACACACAAAAAAAAAAAAAAAAAAAAACAAAAAGCCCACCCACACCACGCTGAGTCTACCACAAATCCATGCCAGAGCAGCACAACACACACTATGCACACACAACAAAAAAAACACCACACCCGTTTACACCAAGCAACAAAGACATTAACAGACCTGCGACAACCCACACGCTGCACACACACACACACACACGCATACCCCCACACCACCACACACACACTAACTACACAACACACACACACACACTAAACCACACACGCACACACACACACACACACAAAACCACACACACACACACACACACACAAAACCACACACACACACACACAAAACCACACACACACACACACACACAAACACAAACCACACACACACACACACACAAAACCACACACACACACACACCCACACGCGCACGCGCACGCGCACGCGCACCCGCACGCGGACGCACACGAGCACGAGCACGCGCACGCGCACGCGCACACGCGCAAGTGCACGCGCACGCGCACGCGCACGCGCACGCGCACGCGCACGCCCACACACACACAACCACACACACACACAACCACACACACACACACATACACACACACACACACACACACACACACACACAACCACACACACACCCAAACACGCACGCACGCCCATGCACACTCGCACGAAAACGCGCACGCCCACGACACGCAGACACAGAGACACGGAGACACAGCGACACAGAGACGCAGAGACACAGAGACACAGACACACATATTTACACACCCAAACACACACACAGATCTCGAGGCACACACACACACAGGCGCACACACACACACACACAGACCCACAGACACAGAGATACAGAGACACAGAGACACAGGGACACAGAGACGCAGAGACACAGAGACACAGGGACAGAGACACACACACACACACATGCACACACACACACAGAGACACACACACACACACAGAGACAGAGAGAGAGAGAGAGAGAGAGAGAGAGAGAGAGAGAGAGAGACAGACACAGAGAGAGAGAGAGAGAGAGAGAGAGAACGAGCGGGGCATGACACAGACACAGACACAGAGAGAGACAAAAAGAGAGACACACACACACACACACAGAGGACGCACAGAGACACGCACAGACACACAGCGACACACTTAGTATGTTATACTACACCGACACAGAGACCCATACACACAGGGATTATATATATATATATGAATAAGGAAAAAAAGAATATACGAAGCCAACTATAGACACGACTCAGACAGAGAGCGAGAGATGGAGAGACATGGAGAGTGCATTCAGAAACGAACTTCGCAACTCTCGCTATAGAGCCGAGGCAACCTGATTCTGCGCCGACTGGAAGGGCACGTTGGTCTGCAGTCGCCGCAACCTGGTTTATAGGGCTTCTACGGCTTTTTTGTCGTTTAGGATAGGGTTTAGGGGGTAGCGGGGCTCTATCCAGGTCTGCCCAGTTGGACGAACATGAGAGTTATTGGGTTGTTTAGGTGCGCGGGGATCTAGGGGCTTGCCCAATTGGACGAAATAGTACCTGCGTCTGAAAGTGTTTGACATGTTTATGTGAGACAGTGGACAAGCTGTTTTGGAGGAGGGTTTGTTGAAGGGAACTGGCCTTCTCTTTGCTTGCTTTCAAAGCATCCATCTTTTCTTGCAACTCCTGCCACAAAGTAGCAAACATAAAGGGGTTTACTGGTGGATGCATGCATGCCAAAAGCTAACGAGATGTCCGGCCTGGATCTGCCTTTGGATTTCCATCTCATCGTGGGGTTGCTCTTGCTTTATCACCCCAGCCATGGCAATAGCATTCAGAATTTGTCCACCCCTGACTAAAGTGGTGGTCGAGCCACCAACGGTGCTCGAGCTAGACGTTGCTTTCATCTCGAGCAGAGAATCTGTGTGTTGCGGGTTGCAAGGTTGCTGGGGGTGGGGGTGGGGGGGGGTGGGGAGGGGGGACTTGGGAGGCTGTTTGGGAGGCGATCGGGGGTTTTTTCGGAGGCTTTGGGAGGCTGTTTGGGAGGCGGCCGCCAATTTCCGCCATCCGCCGCCGATTTCCGCCATTTGGCCGCCGATTTCCGCCATCGTTTGTGGCCATTTTTTTCTACACAAGTCCCATCGTGAGCAGGACGTCAGCAGCTAGAAACCAATCCGGTCCAAATCATAGAACATTGTACACGAATGACACACACATGAACTTCCCCACTGGTTGCTGCTGAAGGCCCTGCAGCTCCTAGAACACACCAGGTTCTTTGGGAATCAATTCCTTAAACTGAACAGGCACCTTGACACACTCTGCTCTGCCTAAATAGCAGACAACATCTCCCAGCTCTGCCTCTTCCCACTTAGGAGTGGCATAGCTCAGCCTGGCGAAAATATCCTGGATGGCAATGTGCTCCTGAAGATCGGTCACCTGACAGGGAGAGGCGGGGGAGGGGGGGGGAGGGGGGGGGAGGGTCAAAATGCTTGTGTGATTTTGACCCACTAAAATTTCCGGTTTAGGGTTTATAGGGTTTATAGGGTTTATAGGGTTTATAGGGTTTATAGGGTTTATAGGGTTTATAGGGTTTATAGGGTTTATAGGGTTTAGGGTCTGTAGGGTTTAGGGTTTCGCCACCCGCGAAGGGTTTAGGGTTTATATAGTTTAGGGTTTATATAGGGTTTATAAAGTTTATAGGGTTTAGGGTTTATAGGGTTTAGGGTACCGTAATTATAAGCCTGGCCTGAGGCGTCGGCCGTGGCATCTGCCGGGTCGGTTCGATCATTTCGACCATCTTCCGTGCAAAGAGTGGAGGATAAATCCTTAGAGGACTTTGAATGAACAGAAGCATGCTTGTGTTAAGCACACACGCATGCCCTAAGAATATCTTTCACAAGACTGGCTGCCACCAAGAAGCCCAGTGGCTTTCAAGTGTTTAGAGCCTGTGTAGGTTTTTCGGCCCTTCCTGTCCCTGCCGCGAACAGCCGTTTTGTTGGTGCTTTTCTTTTGGTCACCAATCAATCTCCCCAAATCCAGAAGGCGGACAAATGGCGACGTTGACCATAATATCGACCGTTTGGGGTTCTCGTGTCCCCAATGTTTCATCCAGAAGCGCTGGACAAATACCTGAGTTGCAGAGTGTCATGGCTCATACAGTATATGGTCTGGACACGTCAAGCAGAAATTCAGAAAATTAAGCACAATGGATAGAGCAGGGCATGTTTGACAAGCCACTTTGACATTAGCCGTCTTCAGTACCTTCAGCAACCATTGAAACCGCGGGTAGTAGCCGATCACAGAGCTACCAGGGTTCTCGATGAAGAAGTTGTGGCCCAAGCAAACCAAAAGGGCCAACAGGAGCATCGCCCTGCCCAGTTTAGGGTTTATAGGGTCGATAGGGATAGGGTTTATGATACATATAGGGTGCTCTAAGGGCTTTTCTCTTGCTTCCCCTCGTAGTTGGGACCCCCAGCCCCTACTCTAGAGGGGCAAGGTGAAGGTTTAGGGTTCAGGGTGCCCCTATAAACCCTATAAACCCTATAAACCCTAAACCCTAACCCTCCTCCCTTTGTGTACTTATATATATATATATATATATCTGTATATATAACCCTATAAACCCTATAAACCCTATAAACCCTATTATAAACCCTATAAACCCTAAACCCTATAAACCCTATAAACCCTAATATAGGTTATATAAGGGTTTGTGTGGGTTTAGGGTAGCCTGGTGCACATGCAAGGAAGAGCTGCGGTTGCTGCTTCTCCTGCCTGCTGGTTGCCTTGTTCGCGGCTGCGACCGAAGGAGCCGACACATTGCCCCATGGATTCAACTCGTCTCTTTTGGTCGAACCCCTGCTCATGCTCACGAAGGTACTGCACTCTATGCCCAGCATGGATATAGCTCCAGCAGGGGAGCCTGAAAGAATCATCATCACGGCCAACCTGAGCACCCCATGACTCCATGTGTATAATAGCAAACTCACACGCGCAGGCGCATGTGCCACGTGTGACTTACAATTTAAGGTCAGATTCAGGCACGTGAAACCGGCGTTGCCATTGAGCTCGAGGGCCGATTGAGTAGGGTTGTCATCATAGTTTTTGTCAGCTGCAATGGCTCGGTATCCGACCTTCTGGGCAATGTTTGTGATCCTTGCTCGACCCGCGTAGAGCTCCACAACATCATAATCAAGGGCCGTGAAGGCAGGTTTTGGCTCAACCCAATAGGCCATCAGCACCACAGCCACAAAGGCCTTCAGGGAAGCATCTTTTTGTCTAGTACAACCCTACACTTTGTTATATTTGCCCTCCTTACCAGTTTGCTGCTGACTCAGGTGAGTGCTGCGCTCTGCTCCGAGTCCTTGCCGCACTAATTCAAGCAGGAAGCCTTTGGTACACCCATACTCATCAAGCGTCGCAGACACACGTCGAACTGGGACGGGGATAGCATGGCAGGCCGGTAGCTTTCGATCGGTTGAAAATGGTTGAAACACATGGGGTTTTTGGGCTTGCATCCATGATGATTCAGATGGAAGTCTTGTGTGTGTCAGCCCATGAGCAAGAACTGTCTGCGCGAGTCATGCGTTAAGGTTGAGCTGCACAAGTGCGGCCAGCAATTCCGTCAGTCAGACTTGCAAAGCCCGCCTGCATCCAAGGTGTCCGGGAGACAGCCTCGCCGAGCCAGAAAGGCTTGGCCGGGCTTCATGGTCTGGCCTTAGCAGCGGGGAGATTGGTGTGGAGAGTGGGGAGGGGGGGTCCCTACACCCTATAAACCCTAAACCCTATAAACCCTATAAACCCTATATTATAAACCCTATAAGCCCATTATAAACCCTATATAAACCCTAAGGGGGGGGGGGGGGGGGGGGGGGGGGGTGTTGTGCAAGGAAGGGTTGTTGTCTGCCAAAGAGTCATTCTGCCACGCTTTGCCAGAGGTGTTTTCTGCCAAAATCATTTTGCCTCACTTTGCCTGATCTAGGCTGTTGAGGGGGGGGGGGGTTGGGCTTTGGGGGAGGTGTTGGGGGGGGGCTGGGGGGGGGGGGTGTGGGGGGTGTGGGGGGTGTGGGGGGGGACAGGCAACGCAGCAAAGATGTCTTACCCGGCAGCTTTCTTTTTCACTCCCAGAGAGAGAGATCGAGCTCGGAAACTCACTTTCACACGGACCCCACGCTAACCAAAGCATCCGATAATGCGCTTGCGCTCGCACACACAAAAGAAGCCCCCGAGCATATAAAGCTTGCTGCAGGATCAGTGGCTGCTGCATGTGCGAAAGGCAAGACACGCGTGTGCACCCCTGGACATGGCCTAGCATGTCGTATAAGACAGATCCATCAATCTGCGCTCACCCGATGGCTCCTCTGGAGTCTCAGCAGGTATACTCCTTCGCTGCCTTCGTGGCCACCTTGGGATAGTTCTGGGGGTTGATGTCCTTGAGCATCGGCTTGGCGTACTTCCAGAAAGAGTCCTGCCAGACTGCAATCTTAGGGTGACTAGCCTAGGGTTTAGGGTTTATAGGGTTTAGGGTTTAGGGTTTAGGGTTTAGGGTTTAGGGTTTAGGGTTTAGGGTTTAGGGTTTAGGGTTTAGGGTTTAGGGTTTAGGGTATATGCACTTGCACGACGGTACAGACATTGAACTCTACAATGGTCCTGCTGACTCGCTCCGAAGTCACTCAAGAGGTGCGCGTTGTAAGCATCCCTGATTGCCAACCACTGATTGCACCCATCCCCGGGGGGTGGCCTCGCCCTTTTCGCAAAGCTCTTGTTCTCGTCGTCATAGCGAACCCTTTTCTTTGCAGGCTCATCCTTGCTGCTTGGCTTGCTCTGCTTCGGGGGCTTGCCTTCACCTGCCTTGGGGCTCTTCTTGGCTGGGCTCTTCTTGGCGGGGCCCTTCTTGGGCGGGCTTGTCTTGGGAGGCGTCTCCAACTCCTCTTGGCCATCCTGCTGCTGCTCCACGTTCTTGGACTTGCCGTTTGGGGTCTCGAGCTCAGACTCAGAGTCTGCAAGCTTCTTGCCATTTTTGGCCTTGGGCTTGGCTTTGGCGTTGGCTTTCTTGTCTTTGGTACCACCGCCACGGCCCCGCCCAGCTGCCTTCCCACCCCTCCCAGAGTTCTTTGCGCCCTTTCCTTTTGGCTTGCCACCTCGGCCTCGGCCTCGGCCCGCCTGGCGAGCTGCCGGCCTCTTGCACGCAGGCTTTCCCTCGCCCTCATCATCAAACTCCTCAATGGCACCTTGGCCGAGATGCCCGTGGCCATGCACATCCTGCACCGCGCTGTGCTGCTCCAATCGGCACGGCTTGCCCTGTCATGGGAAGATCACACACAAACACGCGCACACACATATTCTCACTTCCTGTGAATCGACATGCCTCCCCTCTGTTTCTGTTTGTTTGGTTTAATTCTTTCTGTCTTTATATATTTCTTTCTTTCTTTCTTTCTTTCTTTCTTTCTTTCTTTCTTTCTTTCTTTCTTTCTTTCTTTCTTTCCCTTTCTTTCCCTCTCTCTCCCTCTCTCTCTCTCTCTCTCTCTCTCTCTCTCTCTCTCTCTCTCTCTCTCTCTCTCTCTCTCTCTCTCTCTCTCTCTCTCTCTCTCTCCGTCTCTGTCTCTCTCTCCGTCTCTGTCTCTGTCTCTCTCTCTGTCTCTGTCTCTGTCTCTGTCTCTGTCTCCCTTATAAACCCTATATACTATAAATCTTCGACAGAGAGAGAGGGAGAGAAAGAGAGAAAGAGCGAGAGAGAGAGAGGGCAAAAACCAAAAAAGAGAGTGAAAGAGAGAACGAGAGAGGGGGAGAGAGAGAGAGAGACAAAGAGAGAGACACAGAAACACAGAGACAAAGAGAGAGAGGGGCGCCTGGTAGTCCATGACATCAAAGCCATCCACGCTCTCTGCTGCTTCCTTTGCTTCGACAGGCTCAGATTCGGCTTCGGGGCATGCGCCCTCCTGGTGCGCTTCTTCGACCTGGTCTTCAACAGCATCAGCCTTGTCGTTGCACTCGGCAGCACCATGGCCATCACAAATAAGCCCTGACTCACCAGAAACCTCTTCCTCGGCCGCACTACCATAGCCGTCAGAAAGCGTGGCAGCCTCCTCGGGCTCGTCGTCAGAGATCACCTGAATGTAGCCTTCGGCATCCAGGTCCGGCAACTCCATAATGTCATGCGGCACGGTGTCGAGGTTGGCAGTATCTTAGTTGGTGTACCGGTTTAGGGTTTATATAGGGTTTACAAGAGGGTTGGGTATACCCTATAACCCTAAACCCTTAAATAAGCCCTATATAAACCCAAAACCGTAAACCGCAAACCATTTAGGCAACGTCCATCAGCAGTGGCGTGTGCAAGACTGAAGTGCTGCGATGATCATGAAATGATTCACCGAGGCACCGATCCCCCGGCCACGGCGTCGATCATCCAAAGCATTCCTGGCATCCACATATAGCCCCCTAAACCCTAAACTCTAAACCCTTATAAACCCTTAGAAACCCTTTATAAACCCTAAACCCCAAACCCTAAACCCTATAAACCCTAAACCCTGACACAGCACCATACACAGTGGCACACACGCAGCACACCACGGCGTCACTCCATACAGTTTGTGCAGTTGAGAATCTGAAGGATTTCCATTTGCCAATTGAGGGCTGCCAGCTGGGCATCCACATCCAAGGCTTCCACGGCTGCGCTTCCGCTGGGTGCGCTGCCGCGTGCGCTTGCACTGGGCGCACTTTCACTGGGCTCCGCGACAGGCTCCGGCTCTTCATCAGCCGCAGTGGTTTCATCTTCGGGCTCGGGGTCTGCGCTCTCGCCGTCGCCTGCATTTTCACCCCAAGCCTCCGTCATGGTATCGAACAAGACATGTAGGGCTCGATCCTTATTTTCCAAATTGAACTTGAATGAGTTCCATGCTATGACCGCGCTCACATGGGTGCGAACAGAACACGACATCATCAACGTCAGAATTGCTCCGAGCATCTCTCAAGGAAGCAATGGGTGCTTTCCAGCGCCGCATTGCCAGCGTGCTCAAGCGCTTAACACCCCAAGCATCAACATACAGAGCAACAGACTTGTGGCTCACCATTGGGTTGAGGAGCTTGTGCAAGCTGTAGACCTGAATCAGAGATGCCAGCTCCCAATATGATTCAATAGAAACTGATGCATGCAACAGCTGAAGCAATGTTACCGTTAGCAGAGTGGCCTCCTGCTTCAACCAGTCAATGGCCATCGCTTTGCATAGAGGTGTTGAAGAGCCCCAGACAGTCAGGGCGATCCGAATGACGGTCACATTCAAACCGAGGGCTTTCAAACTAGCAGCACCTACCAACGTAGGTGAAGGCCAGCAAAGCAAGTGAGCGCTGTTCGCTCGGAAACATTCCCGAATCTCGCCAGATGCCTCCCACGCCTTGGCCAGTGCATCCATGTCAGGCCACTGCTGGGATTGGCCCCGGCGCACACGCAGCGCCAGCCCTTCTGCTGCTTCAGCCATGGCCCTCAAGCAGCTCCAGAGAAATACCTGCGGCCCTGAAATCCTGCAGCGTGGCCCAAGATAAGCTCAGAGTGTGTGTCGACCATATGATGCTCACGCTTGCATGCATCTCAGGGGAGCAGTTAATCCTGAGTCATTGGCCAGCCTTGTGGCCCCCCCCCAGCAAGAGCTGGAACCCTGCACGCCGGGTCAAGAACTGACTTCCTGCAGACTCTATGGACGTTGAATGGCCTGAATGAAGTTGCCAACCCCTGCGCCACCAATTGGACGACCTAGGCACACGGTTGTGTTTTTGGGCCTTGCATCACAGCACTGTAACACTGCACATGAAAGCCAATGAGACCCGAGCAACTTGTTTAGGCCCCTGCCCTAGCACCTCAAAGAATGACAGGATCAGGAAGCTCAGGAAGATAAGGGCACACCTGCACACAGGAATCGTGGGAACACATGTGCACAATGTACCTTATAAGGGGTTTTGCCACCCGCACTGCACGCGCATCCACCTTAAGGGGTTTATAGGGTTTATAGGGTTTATAGGGTTTAGGGTTGCGCTGCCAAGGCCTCCACTGCAGTGCAGCTCGGCAGCCTGTCGGCGCAAGGCATTGTGAATAACTCGAAATACATGAGATATGGTGCTAACCAGGCCTTGCATGTCAAAACCACTCCATGGAGAGCACCTGCGCACTGCAGGTTGGTCGTGCAGGTTGGTCGCTGTGTAGCAACATGTTGCACGCACGCATGGGTCTCAGGGGGAAAGCAGG